GTACAGATAATGCATAAAAATATATTGAAGCAGCAATTTCAGAGCATGTTGAATTAAGTTTCATTTAAATTTAGGTTTATCCTCATAAAATTATTTTTAAAAGTAGTCTTAAAACACCTTGTATATAAGACTCTTTAGGCTTTGAAATGTCACTGTGTGTTTTTGCCCTTAATACAATATGGAGTGTATTTTCATTATGTAATAAGACATATTTAAAAAATCCATGGATTCTGAACTTAGCACTATTGCAATTCTTTGATAAGAACAATTACAGATTCTTCTACAAGTTCATAAAGACAGTTCACTACTTGTATAGGTCAGATGCTGCCACTGGAATGTTATTGTATCTGGGCAAATTATACAATTTGACAAAATGGTAATTTGCTGGTGAAGCACCATATAGTTACTGTCCAGACTGTCTTTCCGTTTAGTAGTAGCTTCTTGGGTCTGGAGTAGTTTAACTACATGGTGGATCCTGGGTAACCTTTTCCCCAGAACCCTTACTGTGCGGAAATGTCAGACTGCTGTTGTACATCACTTGTAAGGAATGATCGTGAAGCAGAGAGGGTGAGTTAACAAGGTCAGCGAGTGCACAAATGACTGTGCAGGTCTCTGCGCAATAAACACCCTGTATTGCACAACTTGCAATGGTGTTCAGAGCTCTTCTGTTTGTAGCTGTTGTTTCTGCTGATGCTATCGATCAGTCCTTTGTCTTGTGTGCTTTCCAGTCCAAAAGCAAGCTGCTCCTGCTCAGAGGGGCTTTTGCCTCACCTCATCCTAGTCTCCATTACTCGGTGCAGCAAATAATTGATATGAATTTATTTTAGCTGCACCTGGTCAAATGTCTCTTTTGATACAGAGATGGCTCTACTTTGGTGTGTAAGTTCCTTGTAACCTGCAAGCAATTGAAGCACAGCTTCCACACTAGAGGGGTGTGCCATTTGTCTGACAATGAGTCTATGCTGGCATAAGATCTCATGAGTAGCCCCTAGCTGTGGGAAGAAGTGAGCTAGTACAAGCTGATGAATCCAGCTACTCACACCAGCACTTGGTGTGCATGCAGCACCCACAGCCTGGCCCTGTCCACAGTGAGAAGCTGCTGTCATACATGAACTATCCCCAGAATCCTTCCTTCCTTCAGCTTTTCAAAGGACCCAATACACGTGTCATGACCAGTCTCGGTTGTGGCTCACAGATTCTTGGAGCTCTTTCTTATCAGCTACAGATCTTCTTTTCACATTCTTAGTTTCCCTAATAAGATCTGCTTAGTCCTTCAAGCATCAAAACGTGTTATCTGTTTTGCCTGTCGTTATTATCAATAATGCCTTGATGACAATGCAGTCAGTAGGCTACCAGATTTCATCATAGATCAGCTTGTTATATCACCTTATAAATTAGCCCATGTTGGTTGTGAAAAAAGTTATCTTCTGTTAAATAGCCAGGTTTCATACTTGTCTGGCAGGGAGGTGGGTACAATAGCCTGGTACAGCTTTAGTCTAGTAGAGACCTTGATTCTGTGTTGACCATGTATTCACTGTTAGAGTTTGCAGAAATGATGGTTCTTTCCTTTTGCAGGAGATGTGTGTCTCTAATGACATTGTCATTCAAGGTGCTTGCAAATTAAGTGAACTCATTAATGACTTAAAGTTCAGTTCTATTGATGGATACCAAAAAAAGAGGCACACTCTTTTCCAGAACTTCCTGAGAAACAGTCTTAACAATTTGTTCGGAGGTGTTCCAAACCAAGTATAGGCATAAAATGTTGCTCCTAGTAGGCCATCAGTAATTAAATCATTAGCATGAACAGTTCCTATTAATCCCTCTACAAAGTTGTATGAAAAAAAAAAGAAAAATTGCAGTTGGAATTGAATCTGGGGACCTATTTTGGAGGTTACAGATCATCATGCCTCATATCCTAAGCAGGACATCCTCTAAGATGCATCCTCTTCTGGTGCTTGAAAAGGCTTGACTGATCTTTACTCTGCCTTGCATCTCATCATGGAGATATTTCAAAATTAATAGCTGCTCTTGGACAAGAGAGACTTTCCAAGAATCTTCAGAATCTGGGAACATCTGATTGCATCACATGTTTTAATAAGCTCATGGAAGCTATGTAGTAGTCTACATTTTACTTCTTCCTTTTCCTGCCTTTGTATTGTGATAAATGCTATGGAAATTGTGTCATTGTTGCCTGAAAACTGCTTTTTGATGTCTTAAAATAAGTACTGGCAGCATTTGAAAACAGTAACACTGGTGCTCTACTGCAGAGAACTTTCATCTTATACAACTCGATCTGGATTCATTGACAAATTGACTTTAATCCAGTCTGTCAGCAGTTATGCCTGACCAAGATAACGCATTGTGAGGAGTGCTGCTTTCCTTTTCAAACAGAAGCTGACTGGCCTTATTACTGCTGGCAAATCAGCTTGGATGCTTCCGCTTCATATTGTAAAACCACCCCTGCACTAAAAGACAAGCCTCATCCGAGCACTTTCTTCAAATGGAGCATATCCTGTCTGACTTTGCACAGTCAACCTCAGTAGCTATTTTTAGTCAATGCAGCAGCTATAGGTCTGTTGCCCTTCAGTGTTACTTTGCACTATGGAAGGCGGTTTCATAATTTTCTCTGTGTACAGAAATTTCCAATGGCAGCTGTAATTGACTTCCATAATGCTTGGTTTTGACCATAGCACGGACAGATTCAGCAGAAACAGCGTGTGATGTCTTCTAGGAAAACAAGCCATTTTTAATTCTTTCTCATTGTAGAAGGTTGCTCAGTAGTCGTAGTTCACAATATGAAGCTGTATGTGAAGTCACAAAACAGTGCTGTTGTCTTTTTATTCATTTGTTACAGCACCCAGTACTCTAGGCTGGCTGTACGCAGCTTTATCTTCACATTACCACCCTTCAGCCTTCATCCCTTTCTACAGGGTTTCTCCCCAGCACAGGCAATTGCAACACATCACTGCCACTGAAAGAGCTAGAATGGCTCATACAGCACTATCATGGACCTTTTTCTGGGTCAATACATCACTGTGCTAAGTGTCTCCACTGCTGTGAACTTATTATATAGGTTTTTTTCACCATTTTCGTAACCACAATTTGCATGTTAAAATTAACTTCAAAAAAATGTCAGCTGTACATTCTAACAAAGCCACATACATAGTTTAACTGGTCAGCCAAGCCTGTTTCCCAGGGAATTGCTGTCAGACAAAATCATGACTACCAAAAGTCATGTTCTTGATAATAGAATGAAATGTGGAAATCAGCTTTTGTAAGCCACAAGACCACAAAGATGAAGGTACAGCTGTTCTCAGTGCTAGTAATCTATTTCTGAGAAATCTGTGTGTTTTCTCTCAGGGGATCAGGACTATTTCTCCTCTGAACTCTGGCAGTGAGATGTAATTAATTCCTATGGTCTGAATTCAGTTTGAGTTGCATGCTTTGAAGAATATTCAGGTCAAAACAACTGGAGGGAAAAAGTTTATATCCTGCTGCCAGTTCAGTAAAGAAAGATACTTAGAATTTAAAGGCAAACATAGTTTATGTAATGTTTTGATATAAAATAGGTGGTAGCTGCTCATCATTTATTTGCAGTTGATATCTGTAGTAGCAGACAATTTAGTACACAATGTGCAGTTATTTGTACATTTTGAAAGGCTTTTTACAATGAACTGCATTATCAAACAAGTTTTGTGTAGTATATCAATCCTGGGACAACACTAATCTGATCAGAATCCTTAAGAAGATTGAGTAACGCTAATGCTTACTGAATAGAAATTTTCAGAGCTGCATGTGATAAGTATCACTAAAAATGATGAAATATGAAAATAGTAGCTACGTTACTGAACTTTGATTTCTGAGTTGTAAAGTCCATTTTGTGAGATATGTCATAAATCAAAGTATGATAAACCAGAAGAATTCAGATAACTTTATAATTTTCAATTTTGATTAGTTTAGATCAATCCAAATTAAAAAGCTCTACTTTGTATTCATTCTTGTAGAAGACCAAGTCCTTGCTTGCATTCCACCTACAAGTAGGGTCTCCCTCTGGCTGTAAATCAGACATGAATTTTGTAGTAATTCTTAGTTTTTCTCCATTTCCTATTTCTTCTGAAAAATAAAAATGTATGGCTTGTACCGATATGAAGAACAAAAGGAACTTTGTAGAAGTAGTTTACACTCCCTGACTTTGTAGTGTGTCTGAAACTCTGACGAGCTTCTAACAATCTTTTCATTATTTTTAATGGGTGTTAACTCACATACCCAAAATAAACATCTTAAAATGCTAGAAAACATGAAAAGCCATGAACTAATCGGGTTTTTTCTACATTTTCGTATGCTGTTTGAAAATGTTGTCACCCCACTGTTTGTTTCTGGAGATAATTACCATTTTCTTCTGATAGCAGCAGGTAGTCAACTTCACTTTACCTAAAACCATCTTTTCCACAGAAAAGCTGTGACAAAGCTAGCTTCCGTCACTAGTGTGTTTTAATCATTTGCGGGGAGTGCAATGATTAGTTCTGAGACACGAGCTTGGGGTTTTAGTTCCTGTTACACTCCAGACTTATACTTAACCCTAAAAAATCTGAAGGTCCTTTGCCCAATAAGTCAGCCTACCAGAGAATTTCTTGGGAATTGCAGAAGCTGTCATTTAGTGGCACTTTGACATAAAATAGATTTCTCAGTATCTTACTGTAAGTTACTCCTAGACAGAAATTTAACAAACCGACAAACATTTTATCAAAACAAAGCTTAATTATTTTCCCAGGAAATAAAAAAGAGGTATGTATTATGTGGCTATTTCATTGATTTATTAAGTATTTGCAAACCTTGGCAGGTTTCATTACTACTTTGAAACCACATCCAATTCAGTGACAGATTCACACAGCTGCTAGGATTGCCCAGTCCAGTTTGCAATTTTTCGTTCGAATTAGAGGTCTCAGCTGTAGGCTTTGGATCAAATCATTTGTATCCATCATTCTTGTCTACGCCCACCGATGGCAAAAATCACAGATTTGTGTGAATGGCTTTTGGACAAAGCTAGGTAAAAGTCTGTTGTTATTAGAATCATAGAATCATAGAATGGTTTAGGTTGGAAAGGACCTTGAAGATCATCGAGTTCCAACCTCCTGCCATGGGCAGGGACACCTCTCACTAGACCAGGTTGCCCAAGGCCACGTCCAGCCTGGCCTTGAACACCTCCAGGGATGGGGCCTCAACAACCTCTCTGGGCAACCTGTTCCAGTGCCTCACCACCCTTAAAGTGAAAAACTTCTTCCTAATGTTTAATCTAAACCTGCCCTCTTCCAGTTTGAAGCCATTCCCCCTCGTCCTATCACTACATGCCCTAGTAAAAAGTCCTTCCCCAGCTCTCCTGTAGGCCCCCTTTAGGTACTGGAAGGCCGCAATAAGATCTCCCCGGAGCCTTCTCTTCTCCAGGCTGACCAGCCCCAACTCTCTCAGCCTCTCCTCATAGGAGAGGTGCTCCAGCCCTCGGATCATCCTCGTGGCTCTCCTCTGGACACGCTCCAGTAAGTCCACGGCCTTCTCATGTTGAGGACTCCAGAGCTGGACACAGTACTCCAGGTGGGCTCTCATGAGAGTGGAGTAGAGGGGCAGAATCACCTCCCTTGACCTGCTGGCCACACTTCTTTTGATGCAGCCCAGGATATGGTTGGCCTTCTGGGCTGCAATTACACTGTGATTAATAGGTTTTGCTCCACAATTTCCTGCTCATTTGGATGTGAAACTTAAGCAAGAGAAACTAACAAAATTAATAGGGTATTTATTACCTTGTGATGTGACACTTGGCAGTTTTGCACAGTGAAGTCACTGGTGTTCAGCCACCATCCATCTCTGTGCAAGCACAAGCCATTTCTGAAAGCTGTGGCTTTCCATCCTAACTCCTGTCCTCTGGGCAACTCACAGAGCTCCTGTGCAACATCTTCGTGGTCACTGCTCTACACATAGCAGTCATCGTCCCTTTGCATAACCAGTATTGTTTTTCCCAATCCATGAGCATTTTCATGACACTGTTTGTAACTGGGGTAGAAAGTTCTCTCAAAGAGTCAAAGAGGAGCATGTCACCACTCACTCTTAAGTCTGAGAAGCGACATTCCTGGGTTCAAATTAAGAGCTTGGTATAAGATCTCATATAAAGTAAATCTTAGAATGCTCTATACATGTGTATCTGGTTGAATACCATTTTCAGTGTCTTCACGTTACACATTCAACAAACAAAAGCAGGGTATGCCATGGTCTTTAATAAGAAAAATAGAATACCTCACAGTGTTGGGGTTTTTTTTACATTTGAAATAAAAGTAAGAAGTTGTCACAGAAGTTCAAATCTCATGTCTTACTATATTTTACATTTTTACCTGCAACGAAGGTGAAAAGGATATGGTTGTTGTTTGGGGTTTTTTTTTTTAAGTGCAGGTAATTTAGTTGATTTACATTTAGCAGGGCAGATGGCATTAATAAACTCATCAGAGAACTCAATGGAATTACTCACATACATGAAATGACTCAAGTATACAAACATTGTTATGATAAGAGTTGATACCAAGGGAAATACTAAAATTTTTCACAAAACATATTTTCTAGTATTTCCTTCAGCTGTAGTCAGAGGTAAGGTTAGATCCTTTTCCCACAGCTATATCTTAGCATTTATTCTTAGGTACTCCTCTCTTTTAGTTTCTGTTTCTCTCCTCTGCAGGTCAGTTTTGTAAACTGATTTCCCACCTTTTCCTTTGTTGTTGGAAAGATACAAAAGTTTCCTTGAGAACTTTCTGTTCTGACTTTTGAGAATTGGCTTCTAACTCATGCTGCACTCGCTCCAGAGTGCCTATAGCTGGAATATTTGATGAGTCCCACTATGAGTACTTACATGCTACTTGAACTATTTTTGACTAGAGGAGAGGACAGTCTGTTCATTTTCATCAGGACCAACACTTACTCAGTGTACCATTACAATAAAAATGTTCTAACAAGATGTAACTTTTTGGTCCAGATGTCAATGAAAAGTTCACAGCTTTGGGGATTCTGTATAGAGGTAATAATCTAATGACATGTTGACTTAGGTATTTATATTGTCTCTACCTAAATCCTCTGTTGCACTTAGGTTCTGTTCTTGATTCCATTCAGTGTAAGACTGTTCTCCCAGTCCTGGGTAATGTATGCAATTTAGGATTTTGGTGACACAAAGAGGTTTATTTTGAAGAAGAAAACATTGAATTAGGAGTTTGGAGTTTGACATAAGCGCATACTTTGACATAAGCACATACTTGTATCAGCAATGGCCAGAAGTCAGCAGAGAGGCAGGCCGGCTCTTTCTACTGCACTGGTATGTCATGAAGCTTGCATTGTTGATACTTGCATTATAATCTCATTAGAAGATAGTAGTAAAGCATCATTTTTGTAATACAAGGAAGGACTTTAACCTCACCTCACTGAAGGATCAAAAATTATTTTTATTTTCATAGTTGCGTTTAACTGTCAATGAGTAGCTACAATGAATCAGAATGATGCAGGGTTCTTCTGGATCTTGCTCAGCACTGAACAGAAACACGGATGAAGATGTCAAAAAATGACTGCAAATAGATTTTCAGACAGAGCTGAAAATCTACCATGAAACTTAAAAGGTGGATTTACAACATGATCATTGTACGTGCTTCTGCTGAAACCATCTTGCAGGTTGATGCATGTTTGACGTGTCATTACTCCTGCAGCCAGAATACTCCCCCTCGTTGGCAATTGACTGCTAGGGAGAAAAAAACCTTTGATATGGAAGGGGCTGTGCCATTTTTCCATCTGTACTGACATTTGCGGTGTTTCACAAATAATAATAATGATCATAAAAATATATTTCAGGGAACTTCATAAGACATACACAAACAGGATGCTTTCCTTCCTGTGCATAGAGTCAACAAGCGTGCTGCAACACGTAAGTTTTCAAAGCAGGATTCAGATGGGGCCTAAATGATGTGTGGGCTTTGCACTGTCCTTTGCCTGGGAATGAGTACCGGGAACGGTGTGGAGGTACCTGAGTGAGTGAATGGTTTCCACTTATTAAAACTATTGATGCTGCTTCTATTTGTATTTACTAATATGATTAAAAAGTACCATCAAATCTAAAAACAGTGATTTGTTTACCATATTCAGGTGGGATCTAATGCTGTCCTGCTTTGAGGCTAAGAAATAGAGATGAAGAAATGTATGTTTTTATTAGTTTCTGAAAACCCTCATAGTATGTGGTACCAGTAATGACAGAAATGGGAGACAAGATTTACTGGCATCTTTTCTGCTCAAAATGTTAATGTCAGATTCATGAGTAATCAAATGGCTACATTAATTATCTAATCTGTTCCCTGTATTTGTATTGCTTGAAATGTATTTATAATGCTTCTGTCGCCATAGGATTTGTGAACATTTGCTTTAGGAACTGCTCCTACACATTCTGTACGTGCAAGGAGGGCTCACTGGTATGCGTCATTCCACCGATTTCAGCAGAGCCGTGGCAGAGAGGGGCAGGTTTATGGAGCATAGTGTGGATTTATGTGAGATGCTTGGGCTAGTGCAGGTATCATGCTGATGTGTACTATGTCCTTTTGTTGTTGCTAACATGCCTTGCTTTTTGTCACTGCTAAGCAGCATCACCAGTGTGCGGTATTATCTGGACTGGACTGTTTCCAGTATCCAGCTTCTTCTCAAGGCTACCTTATGGCTTTCTTTGATGCACTGCATTCTGCTGTAAAACCACAGTCACAGATTAGAGGAGTCTGATGCAGGCAGGAGATATAAAAGGAGCAGGCTGGAACTGACAAGCCCAAGTCAACACCAGGCTCTCAACAGCGGCTTCTTTGCATGGCCTCAAGCCTGCAAGTACTAACTGCTGAATGATCAAAGGAAATGGGTATTTGATTTTAAGAACAGCGGACCTTCTATTTGTGGATGTATGTCTGTGTGTGCTTAGCATGTACCACATACATACCAACAGAAATAATGTGATAAAATGAAGATTCATGTAATTAAAATCCCAGTCCCCCCATGCTGCTGACTGACTTCATTTTCCTGGTAAGAAACCTAAGTAGATCTTTGAGGAAGCCTACCATGCCAAACATTGTGTCGTGCTTAATCCTGTACTTGTCCTTTATATGGTACTTACCCTTTGACGTCAGTGGAAACTTGACGTATGAGAGTGCAGAAGAATCAGGCTGAATTGATTTTTTTATACTAAGATTAAACAGAGGGAAGCCTTCTGAAATGTACAGAAATGTTATTCCTTCCTACAACATAAAGGGATGTTTTCTGCTTTATTCTTCAAGGATTCTTACCTATATGGATTTGTATACCTGTGCGTTTATGACAGACTGTTGATACACCTGGACAGCAAAATTGGCAGATGTAAAAGTGATTGCCAGAAAGTATCTATAATGAGCAAACAAGGAATTCCTAATAAATTTCTAATGTGTATTACCATTTGCTGTGCTACATCACATACACCACAGCCACTTCTAAATAACTTCTATGTGTGCAGTTTTGCCAGCACATTTCCAGTTTGTGGTCTCTAAATCATCTTGAGTAGAGGCATGCAAATGTGAGAGGACACACACTGTGTTAATCAGTAATAAGCTTTAAATATTTTCTGCTTATACTGAAAAAGGTCTGAGAAATGCCTTTAATTTTTATAAGCAATTTCCCAGCTGGTTTCTTTTGCTATTAGCAACAGTAACCACATTGTATGAATAGTCTTCCCCCCCCACACTCTTAACAAATAAAAACAAATGACATGTATTTTACAATGGTGAATGTAAATGATGGAGTCATTCTGATGTTGTTATTCTAGACTTAACAATGACCCCACTGACAACAGAATTTGGACCTCTGAGGTTGAATCACAACAGAATAAAATTAAAAACATATTTGAATAAACCCTCTGAATAAAAAAAATGGGATAAACTAATACTACACTTACAACGTCATTGCCATACCAAAAATTGCTTTGGAGCAAAAGGACACAGAAAAGTGTTCAGAAAGGATCATCTGCAAAGCCACTGGGGTACGGAGCTGCTTGGCGGGGTCAGACGGCCCCGCTGCAGCGCAGGGACGAGGGGACTCGGCACACGACTGAATTCAGCCGTTTGTAAAAGGGGTTGTCAAGGTCTGATCCCTCCTGTCCTGCGATAAAACACCAGAGCGTTGAGCAATATAAAAACATCTAAAATATGTATTGCTCAATTTTATTCTCGCAAGTCCATTCTCGGGAGCGGTAGTTAAGCCGCTCTCACGGTAAGTATGTATTTCCTAAACGCCAAGAAGCGAATGTAAGCAGAGCTCTACCTGCTGTCTGCTCCGAAAGTGATCAGAAAAAAATAAAAATAAAAATAAAAACCCCACTATGAAGTAATAAGCAATAACGTCCTCATTCTTCTGAAGCGCGACCACTGCTCCCCTCGGCCAACTGCCTTGCTCTCCGCCTCCAAATCCCCGTTAATCCCTTCCAAAACCCGGCACCTATGACAAAAACCGGCCGCTCCCCGCCTCCCCCCTTCCCCAGCCCCGCAATAGCC